GAATAAAAAAAAAAAAAAACCACCATAGGAATGCATAGCTAGATTCCTATTGGCTATTTCACTTTGCAACAGCCAATAGCAAACTAGCTGTTGCACGCGCCCTCTGCTGCTGTCAATCACTAGAAGAGGACCTGATGGAGAACTTCAGGTCCCCCTCTTCTGATTGGCAGCAGCAGAGGGCGGGTGCAATAGCTAGTTTGCTATTGGCTATTGCAAAGTGAAATAGCCAATAGGAATCTAGCTATGCATTCCTATGGTTTTGTTTTTTTCTGACGGCCCCCGATGTCAGAAAAAAAAAACAACGATCCGGGAGAAAGTGTTTCTCTCCTGGGCCGCCGGGAGTCGTTATCTAATAGTGGGGGACTCCTGGGCGACCCCTGGCAAATCGTCATTCGACCCCCGACGGGGTCGCGACCCACAGGTTGAGAACCGCTGACATAGGCACCTTGACACTGCCTAGTAGGGCTGATTGCTGTGGATAGAAAAGTTTTGAACAATTGTTTTACCATTAAATAAAGAAATATGCTAAAATGGATCTGACCTTCTGCAAAGCAGCTCCGGATGGCATTTGCTTCAGATTATTATCAATATAGGATGTTCTTATAATTATTAAAGGATTCACATGCATTTCTATCAGGGACCTTAATCGTTTAAGCCGCTGCAAAATGTTTTGTCTGTTGTTTGTTAAAAAAAGACTGTCTTCATTGACTGTTATGACTAAGATGAAGATCCGATCACACTTTAGCAGCCAGTCATGCAAAAATGTAGAACGTTCTTTAGGGTTTTTTTGTTAAAGCTGTATATTACCAAAACTTAAATAAACTCAAAACATTTCAAGTGACAAACTCTTTGTTCATTCACCATAAATCTTTCTTATGCATCAATGTGTAGATTGTCCTCTTTTTTTTACCCTTCATCTATATAACTACTAAAATAATGACTGGCTTTTATAACCTCATTACAAAGAACAAACACCCCCACCCTGTAATGTTCCTTGGTGACCACACAATAACCCCTATTGAAGAAAAGACCCGCTTCCAGAAAATGATGTGTACAGCGTTGATAACATTTTCAGTGTTCTATATGACTAAAGATAACATTATTATAACAAGTCTGCCAGGAGAAAATGGAGAGCTTCGTTGACTGTGCACCTAATGAGGCAGGTTGTAGACAAGAAAAAAGACATCAATAACTTGTCTCTTAATGGCTGCCCTTTGAGAAATATTGATTCACTCTCCGTGGGGTCATTTACAAGCCAGCAGTACAGTCTAATTGGTGGATATGACATCAGTGGAGGTTTCTTTCATTACTTTCTCTATCAAGATGACATGTTAAGTATCACTGAACATACGAATTAGAGTGAAATGTAAATTACATGCACTTTCCCTGTTTACCAATTCATGGTCTCTAAGCCATTAAAGCAGGACCCCAGCCAAAAATAATAATATCTTAAAAATAAAGAGCTCATGCACATGGGAGCACTGAATTTACAATGCTACCTGCAAGACCCTGCATCTTAAGTTGTCCAAGCGGCGTATGTAAGCGATGTTGTATAATATTTGCATGTGTAAAAATGTACAGCGTTAATGCAGTCTATTGTTTGCTAGGATGTAGGCAATAGCTGCTTGCATCCTAGCCACAGAAGAATGCTAAGTTAAAGAAGAACTCCAGGAAATGTAAACATTACCCCTAGCGGTGGGGCTATCCCAGCACTGCAAGGGTTAACTGCTCCTTTTTGTCTAAACGTGTCAATGTGCTAGTAGCCTGTGAGTGCACTAACATTTTTCAGTTATGTCATATGTACTGTATGCATATATTCATTTGTGGAATGATTAACATAATTACTGTATTGGTTACAAACCAGTTATAGGAGCTTGTAAATTAACTTAACATTTTCATCTAGGTTGGGCAATCCCTGGATAGTGATCGTGAAACAGGAAGGAACATTCACTTCGTACCAGTCACTTTAATCACCGCTGCACTAGATCTTGTTTGGACATGCTGGCCAAATGCCGTGCACATGCTTTTCTTGACAAGATCGGTGTTTAGAGGCTTTTCTACCTAATCATGATTAAAACATTTACATTTTTTATATATTTATTCCTGAATAATACTGACAAGCAGCTTACATTGGATGCAATCAAAGAATGTGTGGTGTGGAGCACAGTATATTATGCACATATCTTGTAGATTGTAAGCTCTCGCAGGCAGGGTCCTTCTTATCCTTTTGAATGGTATTGTATTGTAATTGTACTGTCTCCCCATGTGTTGTATAGTGCTGAGCAAACTGTTAGCAGAAGATAAATACTGTATTATAATAATAATAATATTTTTTAGATAAGTAGGTGCAGGGGCGTCCTGAGGAGCATAGACCGGGTGACACCCCGCTGTGACCACCACGCGCGTGCGCATTGACATCATCGCGCATGCACGGCCATCTAGTTGATGCCTGCCGGAGGCCATCTTGGTGATGGACGCTGGCAGAGAGAGGAGGGGACTTTAACCCGGCGGTTTGAGGTATGCTGCCAGGTCTTCTCCTCTCTCCTGACATTGTCGGGCTCTCGGCCCATGACAGAGTGCCCAAATTTTTAGAGGGGGTAACACCAAAATTACTTTCAGTCATTTTGGTGTCACCCCTCCAATGGCGTCACCCGGGTGCGGGCCGCACCCCCCTTGTGACGCCACTGAGTAGGTATAAACCCTAACTGGGTGACATTTAATTTTCACAATTGGCACAATTGTCACAAACAGTTGCCATTTTTTTTCTTTTAGAAAATACTCTTCACCTTATTTCATCATTTGTTGCATCAGTGCTATGGATCTCCTCCAGCTTCTTTACAGCCACTTTATGTCTACATGCTGCTGCACATAAGTGCCACTTATAATATCCATGTGACACTGTGACAATGCAAGAGGGCAAGTGGAAGGAAAGGAAAGAAAGCTGTTACCCTTTAACAGGAAGAGCCTGAATAAGGACAATTATGACAGGATTGCCAGGTATCATAGTTACATAGTTAGTCAGGTTGAAAAAAGACCAACTCCATCAAGTTACATCGTAACAAAGTAACTTAGTAGGTAAGGTTGAATAAATATGCAGGTCTATCGAGTTCAGCCTATGTATGTGATTGATTGATTGTGTGTGTGTGTATGTCTATGCTCTAGTAGTTCCCATATCCTTGAATCGTTAGTGAACTAAGAAACTCGTCTAAAAGTTTCTTGAATTTATCAATGCTATCAGCTGATACTACTGACTGTAGAAGGGAATTCCACGTTTTTACTACACTCACAGTAAAGAACCCATTGCGCAGTCTACGATTAAACTTCCTCTCTTCTAACCTCTTGTTGTGTCCTCGTGTCATCAGTATAGTTCTCAGTGTAAACATCCTTTTCCGAATATTGTGGTCCCCATTAATGACTTTGGGAATTGCAATTAGGTCCCCTTTTAAGCACCTCTTTTCTAAAGAGAACAAGTTTAATCTCTGGAGGTGATCTTCATAGCTCAGGCCTTCCATCCCCTTTATTAATTTTGTAGCCCTTCTCTAAACTTGCTCAATTTCAACGACATCTTTCCTGAGGGATGGTGACCAAAACTGAACCGCATACTCAAGGTGAGGCTGAAACCGTGATTTATATAGTGGTAAGATTATGTTTTTATCCCTTGCCAAAATTCCTCTTTTATTGCAGGATAGTATTCTGTTTGCTTTGCTGGTCACTGCTTGGCATTGCATACTACTGCTGAATCTCTGATCTATGAGCACCCCTCGGCCTTTCTCCATTTCAGGCTTCACTAATGGAACACCCCCTAGGCAGTAGTTTGCATGCACATTCTTTGCTCCCATGTGTCTTACCTTGCACTTCTCTACAATAAATTGCATTTGCCATCTTGCAGCCCATACCTTCATCTAGGTCTTGCTGAATTGAATTTATGTTGTTTACAATAGAATTTACTGACCTACAAAGTTTGATTTCACCTGCAAGCACAGAGATTGAACTATTTATTCCACTCTCTATGTCGTTTATGAATAAGATAAACAGAATCGGTCCCAAGACCGAACTCTGGGGCACCCCACTCACTAGCTAACTTTTACCCAACTAGAAATTGAACCATTTATTACTACCCTCTGGATTTGTTCATGCAGCCAGTATGATTATCATTGAAACCTATAGAACTTAGTATGTGAATTAAGTGTTTGTGGGATACTGTACCAAATGCTTTAACAAAGTCAAGATACACTGTCTAAATTAATATTGACTTTCACGTACCATACCCAACATTAAGTGTCCATAAAGATTAGGAACAGTAGTCTGCCTATGACTTGGCTAAGTTCCTTGAGTACCCGTGGATGTAACCCATCCAGTCCTGGAGATTTGTTTACATTTATTCTTTCCAGACTCTTATTACTCTGATCCCTGACATCCACTGAGATATGTTAAATAATTTGTTACTAGAACTGATGTCTAGTTCATTAACCCCATCTGACTCCTCTTTAAAGACAGAAGCAAAGAATGTGTTCAACACTTCAACATTCTCGCTGTCATTGCTAGCCAGCTTGCCTTTTCGTCTTTTATGGGGCCTACGGCACCATTCACACACGAATCGGCCGGCAAGTAGAGCTCCGTGCTGCGTGCGGGGCCGTACCAAACAGCTGCCGGGAAGGACAGGTGCTGCGTGTGATTAGCACGCAGCCCCCGTCCTTCTCTATGGGGCTACGCGGCCGTACGCCTCCCTGCGCTCACCTCAATTGCAGGTCCGTAGGGGTGCGGGTTTTCTTGCCGGGACGCATACAGGATCCATTCCGGCGGCGTATGAATACGATCACCCGCAACCCTACGGACCTGCAATTGAGGTGAGCGCAGGGAGGCGTACGGCCGCGTAGCCCCATAGAGAAGGACGGGGGCTGCGTGCTAATCACACGCAGCACCTGTCCTTCCCGGCAGCTGTTTGGTACGGCTGCTGTACTGTACGTGCCGGCCGATTCGTGTGTGCATGGGGCCTACATGTTCTGTCCTTAGCCTTTTACTATTTATATATTTAAAACATTTCTTGGGGTTTCTGTTGCTTTCTGTTTCTATATGTTCTTAGTACTCTATTTTTGCAGCCCTGATTGCTCTTTTACATCTTTTGTTGCATTCCTTGTACTGTTTAAAAGCCGATGGTGACCCCTTCTGGTTTATATTTTCTGAAGACCCTTTCCTTGTCTTTTATATATTGTTTTGCTTTGCTAATTAAGCACCCTGGTTTAACTTTTGCTGTTTTGAATTTGTCGGTAAATGGAATGGACTGGTGAATGTTGTTATTTAACAATTCCTTGAGACATTCCCACTTGTCCTCCGTGTTCATACTCAGGAAGATTTGGTCCTAATTAGTGTCACATAGCTCGCTCCTCCCCCTTCCCTTTCCTGCACTTCCAGGCCTGTGCTCGGATTAAGAGTCTGGTTGGAGATTTTTTTGGGGGACCCCATGTTCCCCCCCCCCATTTTTTGGGGTGGAGTTCCCCCTTAAAATTCCTACCATAACTAAAAGGTCTGGTATTACCTTTGGGCATGGGCGGATCCAGAGTCTAGTCTCGGGAGGGGCACCGCCAAAAAATAAGCCCCCCCCCATCTGGCTCTTCCACTGCTACTGTGCCACCCCTTTCCTCTCTCACCGCCTATGTGTCCACTGCCCCCCCAGCTCTCCCCCCGGTGTACAACGCACTCCCCTGGCTTCTCCTTCTGGGATCTTGCCGCCGCAGTCACCTTGGGCGGTCTGTACTCACACAAATTAGGCAGCTGCAAAGCCCCGGCATGGGCTGAGACGGCCGCCTAATTTGCTTAACTACAGTGCAGCCTCTGCTTTGGGTCCTGATTGCTCGGTGCGGCCGGCCGGGCCCAGTGTGGAGGGTGGGAGCGATAATAATAAACGCAGAGTGTGGAGGTGAGTAATTTGATGCAGTGCAGAGGTCAGTAATGTGACGCAGTGTGGAGGTCAGTAAGGCGACGCAAGGCGCGGAGGCCAGTAAGGTGACGCAGTGCAGAGTTCAGTAATGTGACGCAGTGGGGAGGTCAGTAATGTGACGCAGTGGGGAGGTCAGTAAGGTGACGCAGTGGGGAGGTCAGTAAGGTGACGCAGTGGGGAGGTCAGTAAGGTGACGCAGTGCGGAGGTCAGTAAGGTGACGCAGGCCGCGGAATTCAGTAGTGTGACGCAGTGCGGAGGTCAGTAATGTGACGCAGTGCGGAGCTCAGTAATGTGACGCAGCGTGGAGGTCAGTAAGGTGACGCAGCGTGGAGGTCAGTAAGGTGACACAGCGTGGAGGTCAGTAAGGTGACACAGTGCGGAGCTCAGTAATGTGACACAGTGCGGAGCTCAGTAATGTGACGCAGTGTGGAGCTCAGGAATGTGACGCAGTGTGGAGGTCAGGAATGTGACGCAGTGCGGAGGTCAGGAATGTGACGCAGTGCGGAGGTCAGGAATGTGACGCAGTGCGGAGGTCAGTAATGTGACGCAGTGCGGAGCTCAGTAATGTGACGCAGCGCGGGGCTCAGTAATGTGATGCAGCGTGGAGGTCAGTAATGTGACGCAGTGCGGAGGTCAGGTGACGCAGTGCGGAGGTCAGTAATGTGACGCAGTGCGGAGCTCAGTAATGTGACGCAGTGTGGCGGTCAGTGACGCAGTGTGGAGGTCAGTTAAGTGATCAGCGGTGTAAGAAAAGTGAGTTACAGTGGTGATGTGCTCTGTCCTCATGCCCTCTTCTTCCTCTCCAGGTGGTGGATCCGGGGGCGCAATGGGGGGGAGCATCCATGTCTGCTCTATGTGAAGCCCCCAACAGCCTTCTTGTGCCTCCTCTTTTCATGGGGTCCGTCCTAACTTTCCTGGATCGGGAGGAGGACTGCAGGCCGTTTAAAAAAAATGTCATTGGTTTACATATGCGGGCAGAACAATCTGCTTTGGCTGTGTCACCAGCTCAGTCAAGCCGAAGCATATGCATTTGACTCAGCTGAGCTGTTTAGCTGCCTTCAGCTGCGGTACAGGCTATTGTGAATAGCCCATACAGCAGCCCTTCAGTTCTGCTAAACCGAAGGGCTTCAGCGGCTGAAGTGAGCTGAAGCTACGGCTATATCCTTTGGCTCTTTAGTGAATAACCCCCTATGTCATTTTTTTTTAAATCTCTGCTCATATCCTGCTATAATCCTATTTGATCAACCCGCCCCCTATCCCCCCCCAGATTCTAGTTTAAAAGGTCTTCTAACCTTCTCCCTCCCTATTAAGGTGTAGTCCATCCTTGCTTCTAGACCCGGTAGCCAACAGAAAAGTCAGCCCAGTTCTCCAAGAACCCAAACCTTTCCTTTCTACACCGGTGTCTCAGCCACTTGTTCAAATCTTTTAGCTCCGGCTGCCTCTCTGGTGTGGCTCATGGTACAGGAAGTATTTCAGAGAATACCACCTTTTCTTTAGTGTCTCGCCCAAGTCCTTGAAATCTTTCTTTAGGACATTTCATCTTCCCCTGACTTTGCATTGGTACCAACGTGTACCATGACAGCTGGGTCTTCTCCAGTTCCAGCCAATAATCTGCCTATCTGATATGCGTTGTGCCGAACCTGAGCACCCAGTAAACGACATACGGTTTGGCGTATCATGTTCTTTATGGCAGATTACCCTGTCTGTCCTTCTAATTATAGAATCCCCTACCACAGGATCTGTCTATCTTTGCTTGAGCGCCAGCTCCCCTCTTACTAGAGCAGTAACTCCCCTGGCAGCTAGGGGAGATATTCTTCTCCAGCAATTCTACCCCTGAGCTGATATCCTCAACATCATGCAAACGGGCATATTTATTGTGGTGTAGGAGCTCAAAGTTCAACCTATAAAAACCTTACTTCAATAATATATGCAGATTTACTGTAAAAATATTTTACAATTATTTTTGAGATTACATTAAAATGTTAAAACTTGTATGAGATTGTATCGATTGGGTTTATATATGTCTAAAAAATATTTTTTGTTGTAGCTAAAGATACCCCAGATGTTGTACTAGCAGACTACATGGCCATACCAAGCAAAATCAACAGGGGTCCATTAACATGAAGACCTGATTAAGGACCTTCGAGCAGGCTTACCAAAAATTATTATAGTGAAAGCTGTAGATTTTAAAACATTAACAATCATTTTCAAAATTGCATAAATATTATGGATGTACCGATACCGATACAAGTATTTGGGAGAGTACTCATACTCGCCCAAATGCTCCGATGACTAGCCCGATACCTGAACTTCCGTTTTTAGGAAGCTGCGCAATGAGACATTACATGCTGCCCGGCTTCCTGATTGGTGGGGAAGCCGACTCCATGCTCTCTCGTCACCAAGTGACGAAGGAGCATGGAGCCGACTTCCCAGGAAGTCAGGCAGCATATAATGACTCACCACATAGTTTCCTGATTGATTGGAAAGCTGGCCAATCAGGAAGCCGGACAGCGAGACACCCGCCCCCCGATTTCCTGATTGGTTAGAAAGCCGGCTTCCTGCTTCCTCGTCACCTGGTCACGAGGGAGGTTAGAGCCTGCTTCCCGGCCAATCAGGACGCCGGGCACCGTGTAATGACTTGCTGCCCGGCTTCCTGACTGGTAGTTCAGGAAGCCAGGCAGTGAGTCATTAGCCGCCCCCCGGCCTCCTGATTGGCCAAAAACCTGGCTCTATGCTTCCTCATAACCTGGTGAGGAGGGTGCATGGAGACGGCTTCCGTGCTAATCATGAACCTGGGTGGCGAGTCTTTACACAGCGCTGACTCACTGCTGCTCTCCCGCACAGCGCCGACGATGACCTCACCAGCGAGACACATCGTGAGGCACCATCATCGAACAGTGAGTGAGGGCAAGGGGGGTCCCTATGTAGAAACTATTAATATTAGCAGAAGATAATTGTGAATCTATTGCCTGCATTGTGTACTCTATATGTCTCTATATGTACTACATATAGAGTACACACTGCAGACAATAGATTTACAATTATCCCCTGCTAATATGAATAGATTAAATGATCCATAGTACATAATATGTAATTGTACTATGGATCATTTAACCCATTCATGTTAGCAGCGGAGAATTGTAACTCTATTACTGCAGTGTGTATTCTATATGAAGTACATATATACAGTACATATCCCCAATACGCTGCAGTAATAGATTTATAATTATCCTCTGCTAATATTAATAGGTTAAATGATCTCTAGTATAACTACATATTGTGTACTATGGATCATTTAACCCATTCATGTTAGCAGGAGAGAACTGTAATTCTATTGCTGCAGACTGCAGTGTACTAGACGTCTGTACTGTATAAGTATAAGTACTATGGATCATGATTTAACCTATTCATGTTAGCAGGGCAGAATTGCGAACGCCTCCCACAAGCACCGAGATGTGATGCAGCGATCCTGCCCAGCACCGACTACGAGAGAGGGCTGGCTGTAAATCTATTGCTATAGTGTACTGGACGTGTGTAATGCATATGTAGTACATATGTAGTACATATATACAGCACACACCTCCACTACACTCCAGCAATAGATTTACTATTCTCCCCTGCTAACATGAATAGGTCAAATCATGATCCATAGTACATAACATGTAGTTGTACCATGGATCATTTAAAGTCACCTGTCCCTTAAAAAAAAAGTATCGGTAATTAGTACATGACGGCAAGTACATGAGGGTAAGTACTTGTACTTGGTCCTAAAAAATTATATATGAGGAAACAAAAAATATGAGAATATATATATATGTACTTTTAAAAAATTCATATTAGTGGTCCGCGGGATTTCAAATGATGACTTTAGTGGTCCATGAGGTCCGAAAGGTTGGCGACCGCTGCTGTAGGACACTTCACAACTCATCCCTCACCTTTGTGAGTGAATGTATATATAGATATTCCCTAGGCTGTTATTTCAACTCCCCCACTGAGTTGCTGATGTCCACTTTAATCATAATGTTATCCCACAAACAGCTACAAAATTTCTCTACAGAAGCCCACATCATCTGGAATTTATTTATTTAGGACATGTGTCGATAGGCTTTTGTTTGCTTCAAGCGGGTATTGCATTCCCATAAATACAGCTTGAAGCAGGTCAAATGCAGATCAGAAGGCGTCAACTGCAAGTCAAATCTGTCAGTGAATTAAGAAGAGTCTCAAACTGATGCCATCAAAACAGACCCTTATCCTGGCAGCCTCATTCGACCCATTTAAAGAGACTTGTTGGGTACAGGGGGAGCACACTGCTGTAGAAATGAAGTGCAGGCACCTACAGGTGTAGTTCCATAAAATGCATGTCTTTAAAATTGCCTACTTACCTTTATTTCTGCCATAACAATTGCCCTATAGCTTACCTAGTGCGTCCGATTTTCCCTTACCTCTTGAACCAATATTAGGCTTAGTTTGCCAAAAGTTTATTTTATTGGAGACACTGAAAGAAGACCATCTCAAGAGCCCCCAGAGTCCTGTGTAAATTTCAACTTGAGATTGGTCAAACATACTTTTAAATAGACAAGATCTCTCTGCTCTCCTGTGACAGTGATTGCATGAATATTGGCTGCTCAAGCACAGAGCTTCAGATTTTGGGAGGCAGGGAGAGTGTCACATGTGTACCCATGCGTGGAATATCAGGCATTTGTCTGGTAATGGCCTGGGACAGTAAGGCACCTATTTGGGTAAGTTAAAGTGGAACTCAAAAAGTGAAGACTTACTATTTTATAGGGAACATTTAGAACTTATAATTGTGCCTGTGCCGTACCATAAAATGTACCTTTTATCTTAAATTCTTCCTAAAAAATAGCAGTGCTGCCCACCAGTTTCTGCTCCTGTTGCAGCAGGCCGGGCATGGATGGTGTTATTCTTCATTTCACCTTTTATCAGGGGCAGTTTTACTCAATTCCCTTTTTATATTAGCCATTTTATGTGAACTTTCTTTGTACCCCCCAAAAGAAGCGGGATGATTTTGGCCTTCCAAAAGGCGTTGGCTGTTTTTTGTTTTTCTGGCTGTCATGAGATGATGCCTGTCATCAAATGTTTCATTTTATAACTTACATTGTAGCCCTGATTATGGGGAGAGGGGGGGGGGGGTACTCTTGTCCCCCAGAATGCATTGACTGTTGTTCTGTTCTGTTTTGTTATTTACGCTCTCACCAGATGATGGCTGCCATCAAATGTGTTATTTTATTTAGCTTTCCTTGTAGCCCTGATGAAGAAGGATGTTTCTGGCAATGGAAATGTGTTGGTTTTATGTTGTTGTTCTAGCTCTCATCACATAATATTTTAACCTTCCTTGTAGCCCTGAAAAGGGGAATGTTGTGGCCCCCCAAAACATGTTGGCTGTATTTGTTGTTCTGGCTGTCCTCAGATGAATGATTAAAGGAGAACTATGAGGTGAGTGACAATCACTCACCCTCATAGTTTGAGCCGACATGTGACAATGGAATTGTCAATAGTCGGCTCAATAGATTGGGAAGTGAGCGAACACATAGCATAGCTCGCTCACTTCTCGATCATCTCCATGCAGAGAGCCATGACTGTCAGTCACGGCTCCCTGCAGGTATTCCCCCCTTCCCGCTCCGATCCTCCAGTGCTGACTGAAGGAATGGAAGGGGGTGGGTACAGCTCGCTCTGCCTCTAGATAGGCAGAGCCCGCTGTCACTCACGCAGCTGGGTAGATCTCGACAGCATTGTCGGGATCCGTCCCGGCTGCAGCGGTCTCAGTATACCGCGAGCTGTAGGTCACGGGAGGAGGTTAGTATATGTCCTCCCGTGACCCTGAAGAGTACTGTGGGGAAGAACACTTACCATAGTTCTCTTTTAATGCCTTCAGACTCTTGAGACATTTGCTTAGCGCTCTCATTGACATAATTACATGTGCCTTTTTTGAGGACAGCTTAATTCTCCAATCGTTCAATTCCTCTTTAAGTAGAGAACATTTACAGTGCCTCCACTAATGTTAACGTGTCACTTAAAATACAGATTGCCGCTTTAAATCATTCTTTCACAATACATTTTGTCTGAAACAAATGAAATATATTTATCAGTCATAACCATAATATTTTAGGATATATTGTCCTTTAAAAACATTTGTTCTCAGCCAATCTAAACAATGAAAAACAGATATGTCCCTGGAGTTGAATGATACTTTTATTAGAAAAATATAAGTAATGCCCGGGTAAACCAAAAATGACTCAGAGTGTACACAGTAAACACCCAACTACTCATTAACTTATTATTTGCTGAAACTGATGGTCATTAGGTGTGTATTGCAGATAACAACCATAACCTGATCTCAATTAATAGACATTTCCTTGAAACA